AGCTGCACGAGGCCCTGGCTTCTATTCCTGAGGACAGGCTGGCGCGGAGCCCTGTGGCTGTGCCTACCCTCACAGGCGCAGCCCCAGTGCTGGTGGGAGGGGCGAGAGAGTTGGGCTCCCTGCCTGCTGAGGGGTTTGGAGCTGTCGAGTTGCCAAACCGCAGGCAGCAAGTGGGCGGGTCGTGGGAAGGAAACTAATCTTGAAGTCCAGAGATGTGGCTTCTAATCTCAGTTGGACAGCCATCCCTGTGACCTCTGAGTTTCCTGGACTATAAAATGAAGATAATTCTTGTCTTGGAGGGTTTTTGTGAGGCGTGAAGGATAGTGGCCCTGAGTTTCCCTCTTAAACTGTGTGTGTGAGCCGTACTCGCATTGCAGGGAATGTTTGAGCCCCACTGCCCCAAAAGAATTCCTAAACGTTTTTCATCACGAGTATTATCCATCAAGGGAAGCCAAATGCTTCTACAAATCATAGTAAATACGATCTGTTTCGTGTTGTGTTTCAAGGAGGAAAAGCTGACCAGCAAGAGGAGCGTCGGAGACAGAAGCGGATGAAGATCCTGAAGAAGGAACTGCGCCATTTACTCTCCCAACCACTGTTTAAAAATGACCTGAAAACCAAGTATCCGACGCAGTCTGGCAAGCCGCCCGTGCTCATGCCTGCCCCAAGAAATGGTGAGTCTGCTTTGAGCTGCCTCTCCAAGCAGAAGAAGAAGAAGCAGCCAAAACCGAAAGAGCCGCAGCAGCATCGAGAGCCACAGCCAAGCACAAGTGCAAAGTAACAGGTCAGTCTGCAGGTGGCCGCACGTCACGTCTGTGTGCTCTGGTTATGTGGAAAACCGTACCTTTCCTTTCTCTCCACGGTTCTAAAAATCTCCGTCTTCGACACCACCCCATAGCGGGAGAGACTACAGATTTGTGTTGTTGTGGAGTAAGAGTTCGTGCAGCAGCTTACGTATTCCTGTATTTCAGTGTTTACAGGCTTCTTGTATGTTCAACTTGATTTCCTTATTAAAAATAATAGAATCAGCATGGCATCCTGTGTTTTTAGCCAGAATACGGGGGACACTGTTATAGTCCTCTGGCTGCAGGATGCACATGGGGGGCGTCTCACCCCACTGGACAGTGTGGGCAGAGCAGGAGATCACAATAAAATCATTTCTGCCTGGGTCCGCAGCATGTGTTCCTGCTTTTCCCTGTAACAGAACCCTAACAACTGATTAGCTCTCTACTTCTCGCTCACAGCCCTTGTCTGAGCCACCCCGAGAGGTGGGCAGGGAACAGGTCACTGTCCTCAGGTTCCAAGAGAACACAGGCTTCCTTAACATCACAGAGCCACTTGGGGGGAAGCCGGAACAGTGTGCTGAGTCAGGTGGGTGAGGCACTCAGGATCTGGCCCTGGCCCCTTTCTCCGGCCTCGTCTCCCCACTTCCCTTGTCCTGAGCCTTTGCATAAGCTTTTCCCTCGGCCTGATGGCCTTTCCCGTCCTTGAGCACTGCTCCGTGTTCTCTAGATCCCTGAGCCCCCAAGGAAGGGAAGTGTGCCTGCTGTGGGCTCCCGAAGTCCAATGCTCCCCCTCTTCACAGTACTTGCCACAGGCATATTGTCAGTGCTGAGCTCCCTGAGAGCACAGGCTGCTTTATCACCACTTGACAGCCCTTCAGCGTAAGGGCACGTAAATGCGTGCCGAGGAAACCAAAGACCCCCCAGTGCCACCCCAGCCTTCTCTGGGTCGGTCTGGACGAGGAGCCACAATTGCCACAGTCATAGGACAGGAGGGCAGCGGTCTTCCCTCAGCCCCTCTGGGTAACTGCAACAGGATAGTTGGCCCAAACTCAGATTCAGGTAGCACTGAGTGTTCAGCAAGCACCAGGCACTGTTAGCTACTGTAGTCATTTTGCTTCTGTCAAGGCCCTGAGACATAAGCCTTGGTGTCCTTTTTTGTAGTTGGGAAAGCTGACACTGGTTAAGACTTGCTGAGGATCACACAGCAGCCCGGTGGCAGAGCTGGGTTTAGAACCTGGGCATCTCCTTGTGGGCCCAGGATAAGTTCATAAAACTGTTAGTGTTAAGACAGCAGCGTTGCCAACGACTATCCCCCAGTGACACTGACCTAGGGAGGAGAATGCAGAAGAAAACAGCTCCAGTCTGTGAGGTCAGCTCCTAAGTGACAGCTCTCAGAGGGTGGCAGGGGGACTCTCCGTTTTCCAAGTGATGCACGGGGATTTAAGGAGGCTCAAGGCCCCTTAGCTGCACCCGACCCACGAGAGGCCTGGTCTCGTTGACTGATGTCTTGTTGACATCCTGCATTTGCACTCTAATAGCAAATTCTATTGTTGTTGGTGGGGTAACATGTTAAGGGGGTGAGTTTTAAAAGACGAGGCCAGCCTCCCAGGCAGTCCTGCTTTCTGACCTGATGTGAAGCTTTGGTGAGGTCGGTGGTTCCTTTGGTGCCTCTAGCCCAAGCGCAGGATTTCCTGAGTATCTGGACCTTTCACTAAACAAGGAGCTCCCCCATCTACTCTCACACACAAGCGCCACGGGTACCAAACTAAGAAGCTAGGACAAAAGTTGCTGTGGAAACCAGTTTAATGCTAGAAAGATATTTTCACCAGCTGCCCCAGGGAAGCTGTAGGGTCTGGCCCATATCCCACAGGACCCGGGGCCCCTGGGCAGCCACTCACTGAGCCACAGCCCCGCCCTCATTTCTGCTCAGTGTGGGAATGTACCGTATTTGCCGGCGTATAAGACGACTGGGCGTATAAGACGACCCCCTAACATTTCCACTCAAAATACAGAGTTTGTTATATACTCGCCGTATAAGACTACCCCCTCTTCCGCACACCTTCCACACACCAAATAAAAGGTAAAACAATATCAGATTTGATTTCAACATTTATATTTATATTCAAATGCTTATGACATGCAGGAAAACTGTCACAAGGGTGTATGTAACCAAACATATACATAAATCGCGATTCGCGATTTTGCGCTATCATACTGGGTGTATGGTCGGCTGTGTGCGATTTTGCGTGTGGTAAAATCGCATAACAGCAAAATCGCATAACAGCCGAGCATACACCCAGCAGCGCTGCTGATGCCTGAACGGTATGTGGAATGAAGTGGGCGGGCATCGGGAGGCCACTATGGCACGGGGCAAGCACTATGGGCAGTCTATCTGAAGTGTACCTGGCGTATAAGACGACCCCCCACTTGGAGGCATATTTTTCAGGGCCAAAAAATCGTCTTATACGCCGGCAAATACGGTATTTGGTGCTTGGACCACTGTTTCGGAATCCATAGCGCCACTGCCAAGGTGGCACGTTTCCCCGTCTTGCACTGTCCCGCTACTCCTCTTGGGAAGGGTGGGTTGGAGAGTATCCCATTTGTAAAACACTGTGTGTCAGGTCTTGTAGTTGTTTTCGCTGAACACATAATTCCATTCCACTTTAACCAATAATCCTGTGATATGTAGGTATCAATCTCCATTTCATTAATGTGGGAATTAGAGCTCAGAGAGGTGAAGCGTCTTGGCCAAGGTCACAGCTAGTAAGTGACCAAGTTGAGATTCAAATCCAGGCTGGCTCCAGGGCCCCTTTGTGCTTAAAATAGGAACCTAGTCAAAAGCAAGGACAGTTTGTTCTTTTTGTTGCTAAATATTCCCATTGACTTATAAAGTTTCCTTTAGAAAGAAAGTGATAAATGTGCAATTATAAAAGACTCTCAAAGCAACTTTCCTGCCAGTTTTTGGTCTGGAACAAGATGGCTTCGTGGGACGGGGTGGAGAATTATCTGTGAATGTGACTGCTAGCGTGACTGGCTGCTGTAGACAAGCAAGGTAGCTTCTATAGATGATTGCATTTTCACAAGTTGCAGACTGTCCCCAACCTAGTATTTTTTTACTTTACAGTAGTGCAAAAGTGATAACACGGATTCAGTAGAAATCGTAGTTCGAATTTTGATTTTTTTTCCCAGGCTACCGATACGTGGTAAGATAACTCTTGTGATGCTGGCAGCAGCTGCAAGCTGCGAGCTGCCCCACCAGCCAGGAGTTCAGGACCGTAAACTACCAATACTCTACAGTGGACCCTCGCCGGCATTTTTAGATCCTGTATTTTGTGTTTTCTTATCCCATCATGTCTGTAAAACACCCATCTGTGTTCCCTGTTCTGGTAAGAAGAGGAAGGCAATTCTTGAGATGAAACTCAGGACAATAGCCCAACTGATGGCTAATGTTTAAGTGTTCTGAGCATGTTTAAGGTAGGCTAGGCTAGGCTTTGATGTTCGATAGGTGTATTAAGTGAATTTTTTACTTAAAATATTTTCAGCGTAGGATGTGTTTATCGGGACATAACCCATCATAAGTGCAGGAGCGTCTGTACTTAAAGTCCAGATCCTCCTGCACTGAATTCTGCCCTTCCCCGTTCTCTGTAGTGCTTTCCCTTAGAGATAAGATCTGAGGGAAGAGACCAGTGGTTTGGATTTGGTCAATGGCTTTTGTGGACAAAAGGGAAAGCAGAGGGCAAGAGCATGAAAGTAACTCGGCCCACCTCGGGCATTCTGACTCCAAAGTGATAGGATCTCTCCTGGGAAGAGGGTCCCCTGTGAACAGCGGCGGGCCCTCAGGCCTGGAAGCACCGCACAGGCAAGTCTCATAGCGGCTTTTTCCAGCCAGTCTGCAAAAGAGAAAGCTCTGCTTTTGTGAACGCTACGCAGCCAGAGATGCAGAAGTGGCAGCCAGTGCTGCTGTGCTGTGCTCGAGAGGCTGGCTGGGAGCCCAGGACCCATCTCACAACCCATCAGAGCAGCCAAGGACGTCCACGCTGGTGCCGTGTGTTCACGCCGGTGCCGTGTGTTCACGCCGGTGCCTTGTGTTCACGCCCAGGAACGGGGGACCCTGATACTTATAAATCATGTCATATGTTCCCCCCACTCTTCCAATGTACTGTCACAGACCCCAGCACACCTACCCAGAGCCGAGTGAGACACTGAACCAATTCAGATCGGGGTCAGATTTATATTCCTGTGGAAAAGGGACATAATCACTTAGCTTGGGCCCTTGGCTTCAGATTCTAGCTGAGCGCAGGATGGGAACCTGGGTCCCTGCGTGGAATTAAAGCACCCTGACATCTGTCTTCACAAAAGCGACAGCTGATACGACCTGACATTTGTGTAGCAGGACTCGGAGCATCTGCTCTCAGTCCTCCCTGTGCAGTCTGGCCATCGGCAGACTTGCACTGCAGCACCAATTTATATCCTAATAAATCCCTACAGAATGGAACCTGTGAGAAGAAGGCCTTTGATTAAGGAAGTGCCCCACAGGGCAGTCCTATACCCCTGCATTCTCCAGTTCCTCCCACAGAGCAAGAGAGCTTGTCAGCAGTGCCCCCGCCCAGCCAGGGCTCTTTGAGGTCCTTAGGCAGCAAGGTGAGGTTATTAAGGGGCACATCCAGGTGGGTGAATGAGGCGGCTCCTGTCTCCCAGGCAGTTTCCACCACGGAAGTCCTCCCCCGCCGCCAGTTTCTTCGGCTTGCCTCTGTTCTTTCCCACCTAACCTCTCGCCAGCCCGTAAGTAAACCGAGCAGAAGTGGGGAAGGCGACAGAAGACAGACAACCTTGCAAAGGCTGCTCAAGCTCCGCTCAGCTGGAGTCTGCGGCTCCGTGTGCCAGGGTTTCCACCTGGCTGAGCATCTAGACTCTACTTCCAGGTTAGGTTGGGGATGATGCGATAGCTTCCGGCTCCCGGACCCTCTTTCTCGAGCCTCTGTCCGGGTGGGGCCGGCAGCAGGACCCTGAAGGGCCAGGCAGGCAGTCCTGGCCCTGAGAGAGGTAGAAGGGGCCCCCAAAACTTCAGCTTCGTGCCGAAGGCCCATTTCTAGACTTTGGAATAAAAGTCTCCTTTTCCTCAAGTTAGGGGTAAGAACACACCGCCATCATGAATGTTTGGAACCACAGTGAAGCCCTCACGTTCAGGTTGGCCTCACTGGCCAGTGCTTCAGTCGGCCACCCACCAAAGTCCAGTCTAACAGCTGATTGGACTCGATTCTTTTTTATAGAACTGGTGTCACTTAAGACGGTTGACCTTGAGCTTTTCCTCCCCCACAGAGAGCCACTGCCCCGGTGAAGAGAAACCCGAGGACCCTGGTTTGTTTTTTTATATACAATAGACTGTCAACACTGGTAGGACCCTCCTCCAGATGAAGAAACAGGTCCAGAGCAGGAGGTGCCCTCCCCGAGGTCTCAGGGAACTGGGAGTAGAGCCAGGAGTTAGAAAGCATTTGATTCTCCATGAAAATAAATACTAAAAATATTGCCACGTTACCACACTCCATCATCGATAGGCCTCATTCCCACTGACTTTGCCCGAAAGGCTGTACATTTGCTGTTTTCTAACTACAGTCTAAATCGCTTAAAAAATTGAAAAGCCGGAATGTTCCATTCAGAATGAAGTCCCGTTAGGTAACAGGCTCCACTGCGTGGCCTAAAATTAATCAATGTTTATCAGCTGCATAAAGGATGTTGTAGTGGGATGTTTTATAGAGCAGGTAAACGGAAGGGATGGCAGCCTCGGGGAACACGTGGTGGTTCAGGGCTGTGTCCATCTCGTCCACGTACTCCACCTGCAGGGCGATGTTCAGTGCCTGGGACAGGGCCGTGATCTGGATGTGGTCACACTCCATGGCCATGGGCTCCACTTCCTGCAAAGGTCACAGTGAAAAAAGCCAGTTTAGGAAGAAGGCACAGCAGAGGACACGTGAGAAAGAAGTCCACCCCTGGCTTTCATGCTCCTGGGTCGAAGCCCCTGTACTGGGAAGTAATCTTCACAGCAACCCATGAGATAGGCGTTAACACCCCATTCTACAGAGGAGGGAACTGAGGCTTGGTGTGGAAGGAACAGCTAGAAATCGCTAGACTTGCATGGCCTGAATCGAGATCTTTTTGATTCCAAACCCTCTAGTTTGTGAGAAGAGGCTACTATGAGGAATCTGGAAAAGGGAGGCAGGACTTTTTCAGCGTGGCTTCCTAACGCACAGAATCAGCATCTCAGAGCAGGAAGGGACCGTCGTAAAGGGATTTCAAGCGTAAGTGCCTACGGAAGGCTAGGACAGTGAGTCAGGATGCTGGAGAGACAGCGGAGAGAGGCAGAGATGGCGGCAAGCTGGCAAGGGTGTCCCACTAACTAGGCTCCTGCTGATGGTTGTCATACAAGAATAAGGCCTGGGCACTAGATCTTCTGATTCTTCCCCAGAAATCCAGGTTTTCATAGGAAAGCTGTCCAATATTTAAACGTTGGCAGCTTTTTCAGATTAATACCAAACAGCATTAATAAAACACACCTTGGGGCAAAAGTGACTCCGGGGTTGCTATTCCTTATGATGTTAACAGTCCAGTCCGAAGCCCTTATTTCTCAGATGGGAAATCTGAGGCCCAGAGACGGAAAGTGACTTGCCCAAAGCCACACAGTTCAGGCAGCTCAAGTAGGATATTTTAGAGCGACACCCAGGTCCCCTGGCTAGGGATGCTGGTGCGAACATCTCCTACGGAGGGCAGAGCCCAGGGCTGGGAGCTGAGTCCCTGCAGCCTGGGACCCTGCGGACCTACGTGAGTGCAGAAGTCTTTGATGTCCATCTCCTCATCGATGAAGTGTCTGAAGAAGTCTGCGCGGTTCTTGATGAAGGCGGACGTGAGCAGGCGCAAGAACTGCACGATTCGGTCCGAGGCACTCTGGTCGTTGAACACTTTCAGGAGGCTGGACACCGAGCCGTCCTTCTCCACCAACTCGACCACGCTGTAAAACTGGACCCCGCCGGAATCAGCCGGGGCAGGCACAAGCAAGACCCCCCTGCCTCCACGGGACTCCCCCCACCTGCATTTTCATTTTGCAATCCTTAAGTTGAGGTACCAAAATCAACTTGAGATCCCACCTAAGGCTAAGAAACAGGGTTAGAAGTACTTTGTAGTACATGCCTTAGCCCAGAGTCAAGTCTAGCGAACACCAGTCGGGGTCGCCCTGCAATGCCATCTGGTTGGGATTTTTATTTAGAGATTCCGAACAGGGAGACCTCCAACTGCACCTCCTTCAGTTATGGGGTGGAGAGGGAATGGGGTGAAGGAAGCTGGGGGGAGTTTCCAGCCTGAGAGCTGTGGCCCCAAAGAAGGGAGAGCAGGGCTCTGGGCGCCCTTGCCCACCACGTTCCCACAAGCAGGAAGCAACCCTCAGTCCTTCGCCAGCTGGGAGAAGCAAGGGGCACAACCACAGCCACGGGCCGGCACCCACTCCTGTCTGCTCTGGCCCCTCAGCTGTCGCGCTCAGGCTCACTTACAGCATTGAAGAAGTTTCGGAACTTGTGCTCCTCAAAGCCGGCAACCAGGAGATCGCTTGGGGTCTGTAGTACACGCTCTTTGAACCTAAAGTGTAGGTAGACTGACAGTTACAGGGAAATACAGGGAGTGCTGCTATGACTGTCAGCTCTCAGCTCACTTTCACCCACTGCTCCCCACACAACACACCTGAGAAGGTGGACGTCACCAACAGCTGAAAGACTTGCCTACCTTGCCTCGTGGACCGCCCACTGACTTGTTCTGTCTTCCTCGTTGTGTAGAATCCCAGGGGGTGGTCATTACCTCCATTTCACAGATGAGGAAATTGAGGTAATCACCACCCACTCCCAGACATGTTGATTCTACCTTTCAAAGGTCTCATGGGTCTGTCCCTTCTTCCTGTCCCCACGGTTCCTGCCTTATCATCACCATCTCTGGCCTGGGCCATGCCCAGCCTTCCCTTGCTCCTGGTCCCTTCTCCATAGGGACCTCTGGAGTGACGTACTGCAGCCCTCGCCCTCAGCACAGGCGTCCAGGAAGGGCCCCTGCCTCGCTCACCAGCCTCATCTCTAGCCCATCTCAGCCTCTTTCCCACCCCACAGCCATTCGCCATTCGCATTGTCACCCTTTAGCACCCAGTGTGTCCTTCCTTGGCCAGGGACGCTCTTCTAAGTGGTGTGCTAGTGATGGTTTGTGCTAGAGCTGATTAACTGTTATATTTTTTAAGAATTTTGCCAGCCGGGTGTTAAAACAGCCATTATTTAAAAATCAGTTTATGTTGGGCCAGCCGAGTGGCTCACTGGTTAAGAGTTGGCTTGGGACGCCAGCTCTGAGCAGCAGGGCCCCGGTTCGGATCCCATATGAGGGCCAGTGACACTGCCCTCTACAGCTAAGATGCTGAACAACAGCTCGACCTGGAGCTGGGCTGCCATGAGTTGCCTGCGACAGCGTAGGCTGCAGTGGAGCTGCAGTGGGCTGTTGTGAGCAGCCGGCAGCCGGTGTGAGCTGCCGTGAGCCTCCGTGAGTGGCTGTCCAGGGCCCAGCGACTGATCTGCCTCACCCGGGAAGAGCGCAATGATAATACCAACATGGGCCAGTGAAGCAACATCCTCCACAACTAGACTGAAGAACAAAAGGACAGCAACTTGTCTGTTCCCTTCCCCAATTCCCCAATAAAAAATCTTAAAAAAAATCAATTTATGTAAACTTACAGTTAAATTATACTAAAAACAAAGATAATAAATATTCAAACTCATTCCTAATTGTTTTACTATTATCTATGCTCTTATGGTTATCTGTTTATTGTGTGTGTATGGTAGAAATTCAGTTTGGGCTACAGTGTGTATTGTGTATCTCTTCCCAACTCCCTGCTCAGTGCCCCATGATGGTAGCTTGAAAATCAATCCTGACAGGAGTATTTATACCACAGGAATCAGCTAACAGCACAAATTAGGCCTCCCCACCCCAAGGCCATTAAGCCTTCGCGAACACTGACCACCCCTCAAGACCTGATCCAGTGGGCCTTGCTCTGTCAGTGCCCGATAGGCTCTGCTGTCACTGCAGGCCACCCAGTGGCACAGCCTCCTTCTGGGACCTGTGCTGGTACCCTTGAGGGGCACGGCGAGGAGCCCCACGCGGCCTCTGGTCCCAGGACACAGAGCTTCGCAGCAGAGAGGAGATACAGACCAAGTGACTGGTCCACAGAGGGAGAGATGCACCCCACGTAAGAAGGACCGCGTGGGGAGGCTCTGGGAGACCAGCTGGCAGAGGCAGAATTACAGCCCACTGCCCAGGAGGGAGGCCAGGCTCCAAGGAAGACACAGGAGGGGCGCGTTCACAAGGGACTAAAGAGTGAGAAAGGGCTGGAGAGGCCTCGGCGCCTTGTTTCGGGGCAGGGAGTGGAGCAGAAACACATCTAGACCAGAAGGTGGGGTGTTTGCCCAAAGGCAGCCTGGTCCCTGGCTGGGCCTGGCATCTAAGTGGTTTGGCCAGGGCAGGTGGGAATGACACTGTGCTGGGAGTCGCGGGCTCTGCTTCTGTGCAGTGTGGGTAAGGCACCTCCGTGAGGGTCCCTCTGGTCTCTTGGTCCCTGTGAGGCCATGATGTGCAGAGCTCTCCTCCCCCCACCCTCGGGCCCTCCCCAGCCTGCCACCCCTGAACCTCCAAGGCATTCTTACATTCATTTCTCAGGCACTGGGGACACAGTGAGGAGTGACACACAGGCCTAGTCAAGTGGAGAGCAAACACCCAGGCCAGGACTCGCCCCCAAGAGTTGAGGGAGGGGAAGGAGTATGGCATTGGGACTTGGGGTGCAGGCTGTCTCAGCTGACACCAATGTCAGTGTGACCCCAGACAGGTCATTTCAACTTCCTAGGCTCAGTTTGCTCAACTGTAAAATGGGGGTAACACCAGCCTCGTTCACCCCACTGCCTGCTGGACACCCCCGCTCTGATGGCTCAGACATGTCACACTTGGCATCACCAAAATGGAGCTCCTGACCGTCCCCGTCTCCCTTTGCAGCAAGTGGCTTCTCAGTCCTGATAACTCTCAGGTCGTACACCTGGCAGCCATCCTTGACGCCCTCTCTCCAGAGGCTCACGTGCCACGCATCACACCTCCACAGGTATGGAAGCCGACCACTTCTCTCTCTGGCTCATGTCCCCCTCATCACCTCTCCTCTGGGTCTGTCCCCGAGCACATCCCCTGCTGCTCCCTGGCTGTGCCCGCCAGGTCTACCTAGCACACAGCAGCGGGCAGCCGGCAGGCTCCATCTCATTCAGGCTGAAATTCAAGGTCCTTACAAAGGCCGGTGAGGCCCTATGTGACCTGCCCCTCTTGGCTCTCCAACCCCTACTTAAAACAGCAGTCCCTGTACCCCTGGACAACCTGGCTTCCTTCTCTGCCTGACTTTTTCCCGCACTTATCACCATCTGACACACCAAATACTGTTTGTATGTACTGACCACCCTCTCCTGTTATGATGCAGGCTCCACAGGCAGAGTTTTGTCTCCTCACTGCTGCATCGCCAGGGCCTACAACAGGGTCACATGTGGCACCCTGCTGGGTGATGTCTACAGAGGGAGGGTGCCTTCGCAGGAGGGTAAGGGGTGCAGATAAACAGAGCAGGCAGGGCTGGGACAGAGACACGGCTGGGCTTTGCTAGCATCACCTTGCTGAGTCCTCACAACCCTCTGAGCTATGCAAAATTATCCACTTTCTACAGATGTGGAAATGGAGGCTCAGAGAGGTTGGGTCACTTGCTCAAGGTCACACAGCAAGTAAGCAAGAGTGTGAGGTTTGACATCAGAGCCCAGAGCCTCTGCATAGCACAACTCCAGGGACACTGGTGGTAGGGGAGACCCCTGCACTGTACTGTCTGAACCCGCAAAGTTGTAGGAAAGTGGGGGAGGGGAGTGACTTGAGATAGCTGACTTCATAAAAAGGGGCTCAGCCAGTTTGTCATTCAGGAAACGATATGAACGACTCTTTCAAAATAAGGAACAGGTGGCTTAATTTCTACCCCCCTTTGAGAGAATCTATATTTGGAACAGGAGATAATGATCTTAACCTAGTGATTCTCAACCAAGGTTGACTTACCACTTCTTAAGGAGATAACCTAGCAATGTCTGAAGACATTTTTGATTGTCATGACTCGGGGAGGAGGGTGCTCCCAACATGCAGTGGGTGGAGGTGAGGGGTGCTACCAAACATCCTACAGGGCACAGGACAGCCCACGACAAGAATGATCCTGCCCAAAATGGTAGCAGCACCTCAGAGAAACCTGCCTTAGCAAAGGGGTTCTAGCACCGGGTCCACAGATCAACCCCGAATGCTACAACTCAGGTCGTTCCTGAGTCTCATGCTGCGACTCATGGGTTCCAATCCTGGCTGCTCACCTGCCCCACCTCCAACACAGGCAGCTAGGCATCCTTGAACAGCCACACCACTGCCAGGCAGCCCTCCAGCTCACTCTGGATTAAGCAGGGCCCACGTAGCAAAGAACACAGCCTCAGCAGGAAGCCCACCCAGCGGCCCCACTCACTTAAGGATCTCTCTGCTCTTCCCCAGCAGCGATTCCAGGTAGGCATAGCCCAGGGCCCGGTAGAAGCAGTTCCCATCCCCCTTGGTCTTGCGGATCGCGGCGAACCTTTTGCTGAGTTCCTGTGGGGGCGACAGGGAAATGTGGACGTCTGCAACAACATCCCCTAGTATTGCATCCCGTCAGGGCCGGGTCCCCACTTCCCCAGGTAACACCTGCTCCCTGCTCTCAGACTACCTGCCCCGTCACAGTCTCCCAACTGTCATTCATCCCACAAATATGAACACACGCTGCGCGTGTCCTTGTGTCAGGCACTGGGTGGTGACCGGGGCCTCGGCCCCGCCCTCAGGCAGCCTACAGTCTAGGAGGAAAGATGGACAGTTAGAAGATGGGGACAGGATAGGGGAAGCACACATGGGGGTGGGGTATAGAGCAATGGCATTTACACCAGGCTTCAGAAGTTTGCGAAGGCTTTCTGGGGGGCCGGGGGTCGGGAGCAGAAGGGGAGTGCATGGCAGGGGCGGCATGTGTGAGCACAGGCAGTGAGGGTGCAGCATGGCCAGATGGCAGGCCGGGGGCTGCAGAGTCAGCAGGAAGTGCCTGCTCAGACACACGAAGCAGTCTGGCCAGCCCTTCAAACATTTCTTAAAAGGCGTGGTCCACCCCATGCCACCTCCTCCAGCTTGGCTCCTAGCTGTCAATTTCCCTCTCAAATGGCCCGGAGTCACCTTTGCTGCCTCATGGGGATACAGTTAGGGTTTTGACAGCCAAGCATGGTTTTCAAGAGGTTGGACAGTTCCCGCTCCCACCATAGCCATGAGAAGGCTTGGAGCTGACAGGCCCACCTGACACCTGAGGCAGGCCGGCAGGGGAGGAGGAGAGGGCGCCAGAGGACCCGGGGTCAGTGTGCTGTCAGTCCTTGTTCCTGCCCCAGGAAATGCTCCCTGTGGCTGCAGCAGGCAGTCCTGCCAGTGTGCAGAGAGGCACGGGCATGCTGCCCAAGAGATGGAGCAAGCCCAGGCGCCTCCTGCTGTCATTCTGTGAGCTGTCCCTGCATCCTTCCGGCAAGCTCCCGTTTTTATAGCCCCGCTGGAGTGGGCTTTCCCTCCAGAGGGGTGATGGCTGCAGCTCATGCAATCAGGCTGCCTGGTCCAAATCCCAGCTTGTTCACGCACTAGCTGTAGGACCATGGGCCTGCCATTTAATTTCTGTGCCTCAGTGTCCTCAGCTGTAAATGTGGATAATAACAGTACTGACCTTACAGTGCTGTAATGAGGTCTCAGTGAGTAAATAAAGTACATAGGATAGTGCCTAGCTTTTTAAAAAAAAAAATCGTTTTTTTGCAACAATAGGATTTTGCAACTGAGGCAAATGCCCAACATCAAAATATTCTGGAAGCCCAGGAAGCTGGTCCAAACGCTAAGCCTTTTTGCCTTCCAAGTGGCACCTTCTCCTCTGCTCCCAGCTCCAGCCCTTTTAGTCCAGGCTCCTCTTCTCCCAACCTTCAGTCTCACCTGGATTTTCCTCTGGTAAATCCTGTTTTCAGGATGATCGCGAAGAATTGACAGAATGTCACATTTTTCTGATATTAGGTTGAAAGATGTTTCGCTCTGAAAGATAAAGAAGCAAAACTATGACAAGTAGAAAGCCTCTGAGCTGTAGTCACCTGACACAGTGATGATTATCTTCCCACAAAAGGCACGTGTGACAACATCACCAAGATCCTGCCTGCCACGTGCCCTGGACAGGGAGTCAGGTCAGCCCCGTCATGGAGGGGGTACCATCTTTTTACCTGCCGAACTGATTCACCCTATAGAATATAATGCCTCAGACCTAGTGAACCTTCACGCTGGAGTATGACATGTCCCTTTGTCTCCTCTGTCCTTCCTGACTCATTCATTCATTCCTTCTTTTAATCATCCAACAATTCCCAACCAACAATTCCCAACCATCCAGCCTGTGCCAAGCATCGGCTACAAATACAAAGGTTAGAACATCTGGCCAGGTGCACCACCTACTGGTGACAGATCATACTGCAACCCAGCTCTGAGTCGAGGTCCGCTCAGCCCAGAGATAGAAGCCTCCTGACTATGGGTCAGGAGGGCTGAGAAGAACTTGCCTGGCAGGAAGCAGGTAATGGCAGCTGGAAGCTCCAAGGCTAGAGGAGGCACAGGAACTCCCAACTAATAGCCAACTCCCGCGGGCCATGTCGGGGCTGAATGCTTTTCCTGCCCCGACTCAGGGCTCAGACAAGTGGGAGATGCTGCGCCCCTGCCTCCAACCCACCCCGGGAATGGCTCTGACTTCACGAAAATGATGTAAGAGGAATTGGTGTTAAAGTCACTTGTAGTTTATAGTTTAAGATAAGTGGCCATGGTATCTGCACACAACCCAAAGAGAGTTCTTATGCAATAGTGCACAGCTGAAAGGTTGGCGTTAATTGGGATTTTTGTAAATGGAAACCCAGTTTTCCATCAATTCGTTGCCATCATTTTTGACACAGTGTCACTGGAGCTCATTACTTGCACTGTATGCCTCCAACCAAGGGTCTAACCAGGCGGCCTCTCAGCCTCCGGACTAGACAATGACGTCAACCAAAAACCACTGGACTCACAGAGCAGTCTGATGTCACAAACCCCTTTCCATCTGGAGAAATGCGTCTGGGTTTGTGAGGATTAGAATTCTGCAAAGCTCGCCACCAGAAGCAGGAAGTGATTTCCTAGGATGACCCCCATCTCCACATCAGACAGACTCCAAGCTTCTATCTGACAACAAGCTGCTTTGGCCGATTCCTGTGCCCAGCATCTAAGCACAGAGGAGATGTACTATGACTGGGAAGGGGCCTTTCTGGGGGACCTGTATCCCCTACCCATCAAAGTCTTCAAAGCCACAGGGGCCTCCCTTGGCACAGGACGTTTGTCAAGCCATCTGAGACTTTCTGTCCATCCCAGGGCCTGGAACAGAGCAGGGGGTGAGATGTTTGTTGAATGAATGAAGGAAAGCTACCTCCTTTCCGCACCCTCACCCTCCATAAAGAGAATCCACTGGCCCTCACAGTGCCTTATTGTCACTACCTGATGCCTCCTCAACGGCCAGGCCTCAGGCTCACGTCTCTGCCTATGACGCCCCCATCAGCATACCCTTTCGTGCATCTGAGCACATCCTCCAGCCCAGGTTCTGAGGTGCTGGCGGGCCCCTCACAGCAGGCCACGGCGGCCCTCAGCCAGTGCAACCTCCCTCTGAGGCCACTCTGCAGGGCTACCCTGGGCTGTGAGTCAGCCTCGTTAACCAGGCCCAGCCACTCAGAAGCCAAAACTCATCGCGTGGCCTGACCTCAAGCTACCGACTCCTTCACAGTAGAGGCCAGAGCCTCCAGGCTCACCCACCAGCAGGGCAGGGCCCGAAAGCCAGCCAGCCTCCCCTCTCAGAAGGTCCCCGTCACCTCCAGAGGCTCCCAGGGGCTCCAGCCCTGACCGTGCCCGCCTGGGCCTGGGGTCTCCAGAGTCGGCTGGTGCAGGGGCTGGAAGGAAATACCCTTTTAAATGTCTACTTTAGGGTATGATGTGTAATATAAGAATATGTGGAAGGATCAAAACCTGTTTATTGGGGGTGAGTAATCAAAAATGCGTGGAGGCCAAAGACTCAGGGGAGCCCTGGGGCCCTGAGTTAGTGTGGGATTGCTGCTACGTCAAGTTAGCACAAACTCGCGAACTTCAAACACCACGGGTTTATTATTATCTGGTGTTTCTGGAGGTTCTAGAGGAGAACCCATTTCCTTACCTGTTTCCGTTTCTAGAGGCTACTGCGTTCCTTGGTTCATGATCCCTTCCTTCCACTGTCATGTGTCCTCACGCGGACCCTCCTGCCTCCCCTTTATAAGGGCCTTGTGGTTACACCCTTGGGCCCACCCCAGTAATTCAAGGTACTCTCCCCATCTCAAGATCCTTAACTTCATCACACCTGCGAAGTCCCCGTTGCCATGTCAGGTACCCTGGGCACAGGTTCTGGGGATCAGGACGTGGACATCTTTGAGGGGCTATTACTCAGCCCACTACCCAAATGCCCCTTCTCTGCTGTTCAACTCAGGAAATAGGGGAGGCCCTGCACCTGGGCCCCCACACGCCTTGGGTCAGTTATTCGCTGGCCTTGCAGAGCCCCTGAACTCAGACACTGGCGCCCTCTCATTTGATGCCTGGGCTCACACAGCATCCTCCTGATGGCCTCTCATAACTGTCTCCAGCCCTGACCTTCCCCTGGAGTTCTGGCCTCAAACAGCCACCAGCCACTGACATGTCTGACCAGCACCCCCAAATGACTGTGCCCCTAACTGCTCTCTCACTCCACCCCTGCCTCCTCTCCCAGGTGTCCCCAAGTCCCCAAAAGGCCCCTCCAGCCAGCAGAGCTCATACCAGAGGCCTAGGAGTTCTTTTCCCCCCTTGTCCTCCCCTATCAGCTCTGCTCCTGGTCCAGCCTGAGCTGCCACCATCCCCCAGCCCCCAGGCTGCAACAGCGTCTGCCTAGCTGACTCCTGGCTTCTTTCCTGCCCCATCCCGACCATCCTGCACAGCAGCCAGCGCAGGCTATTTAACATGCCAATCAAATGATGGCACACCCTTCCTCGATACCCTCCGATGGCTTCCCTCACCTAGGATGACAGCCTCCCAGGTCCTCCGCCATCTGGCCCTGCTCACCTCACAGTGACCCTTCTTTGTGTTCCTCCAACAAGACACACACATTTCCACCTGACGGCCTTTGCACCTGCTGTTCCTGTTGCCTCTTCACATGTCTCAGGTGACGTCACCTCCTCAGAGAGGCCTTCCCTGACCATTCTGTCTAAAAGTCGCCCTTCCCTCAGCCCTATTGCCTTGTTTTATTTCCTCAGGGCATTCTGTGACATGTAGGTTCACTCATTTACTTGCACCCTGTCTGTGTCCCTCCACTAGAATGTCAACTCTATAAGGGCAAGGACTTCGCCTGCCTGTCATGACCAGATCCCCAGTGACCATCACACACTAATGCTCCAAAACTGCATGTGAGTGATGGCTGAGCAAATGAACGAGCCAGTTTCAGACTCCAGCCTGGCCACCTCCAGTCCCATGTCCACTCCATTGCCAGAGAGATAGTCCCAGTCAATCATCTCTGGTCAAAAATATGTTATGGTTCTCCCCATCAGCACAGTAACACCCCAGCCCCACAAGTGCAGCTTGTGAAGCCCTAGATGGCACCTTGTGACCCACCTACTTTTCCTGGCTCAACTCCCCTCCCTTCCGGGAGCTCCCTGTACCCACCCAGACCACTATCCTTTCCCAGAATATCCCATTTTGAACTGCATTTCCAGGCCTTGAAGCAAGCTGTCCCCACGCTGCCTGGCATGTACTCTTCCCCTAGTCCTTCCTGAAGGATACATCCTTCAACACCCAGTTCAAAAGTCCTCCTCTATGAACCTTCCCAGCACCCCACTCCCTCAGAGTGCAACTCTGTGCTCCCTTGGTCAGACCTCTCAGGCCATGGTCAGTAGCCCAGGAATTGCTTATGTCCAGCTATGCCTGGACATAGCTCCTAAGAGAGGGCTCCCCAGGTCTTTCTTATAAGTGCCCAGCATGGGGCCTGACTAGAATGCCTACTGGGGGCTTGTTTGACAGATCAAAACAAAGCACAGAAGGGCCCTGTGGTTACCTGTTCATGCCTGACATTCGTCCATTTGCCCAACGTTAAATGCACTTTGAGTGAACATGAACCCCTCACTACCTACAGCCCCCCCAGTGGCAGCCACAATCCCGGTCCTTGTCCTCCCCATGGGGTTCTGTGTCTTCTACCTGGGACTTTTCCTCAAGCTTAGCCCAGTGACTTTGCAACGGGAAAGGAAAGAAGACGCTGTGTTTTCCAGGGATGTTCCCCTCTGCCCATCACACACGCTCACTACCATCCACACCATGCAGCCCAGGGCCCACGTGGTGCCTGGCAAACAGCAGGTGCTCAATAAATGCTGGGGAGAATGGAAGAGAACAGATCCTGCACAGCCTTTGCTCCCCACGATTCCCAGGCAGATGTCCTACTTAGTAGGTAAACCACTTCATCCCTCTCCGAGGCACCCAAGACTCCAGACATCGGGGTGAGGACTTGGCGCTTTTGACCCCACCTGCGGTCTAACTTCTGGTCCCGTGAGTCCGGGGCAGACTGGAGGGTGGGGTCAGAGGCCTCACTGTGCGGCATAAAGGCCAGAAGTTGAGGTCCCAGCCCCCACTGCCCCTGTTGTGGTCTCGGCTACCCAGTGGTGACCAGAAGGCATGCCAGCTTCAGGATCCAGGGTGGCTAAACCCATTATTACCCCATCTCCTGCCACTCCCTAGGGGATGATGCAGAAACACCTGGGCCCCCTTCCAGGAGCAGCAGAGCCAGGTAAACCCTTGGGCACCGGGTAGAAGCAGGAAGCTGGCGCTTCCAGATGCCCCAGAGGCCTCCGCCACACCCCAGCAGCGAGCTGGTTTGTCCAGGACAGCCCTCCTCGGGTGACCCGGTTGCTCATGCCACACTTAGGACGTGTCTGGCCATGACCAAGCTTTGACCCATGCCCCTGTCCAGCAGTATCCAGCAGTCGTGACCCATTTCCCTGCCCAGAAAGGGGAGGCAGGAGGCCAAGCACAAAGAACCAGGCAGCTGTGCACATCTACTTCCAGGACTCTGTCATCACAGGAAAAGCTGCATCACCTCACTTGGTCCTCACAGCAGCCCATTGTACAAATGAGCAAAATAGTGCTGGGGAAGAGAAGAGACCAACCAAAGCCTCTTGGCTTCCCAAGGGGTGGCGCAGAGAGTTGAACTCAGGCTGTGTGGCCCCAAGCTGCCATTGGGCCACCAGCCCTCACACTCTACAGGATCCTGGAACAGGCGGCTCAGGGCTGAAGGGCTTCAGGCAGTCACCACCCCCAGTCCCCTCCAGGTTGCCTGACATCTCTTCCCCCAAACCCAGAAGGTGCCCTGATATAACATAAAGAGCACCGGACTGTGAGTCCAGAGGTTTGGGTTCGAGGTTCACCTCAATCAGTCCCAGCATCGTCCCTGTCTGGGCCTCAGGTTCCCCACCTGCCCAAACCCCAGGCTTGGCCTGGCTCAGAGGGTCTCTGGGGACCTTTCAGCTCAGACAGGACTGAATCAGGGGCTCCTCTAGTCTCTGCTTTGCCTGAACTCCTGATTCACGTGCCTCACTACTTGAGGCAGCCTCTCCATGTAGGTCCTAACTCCAAACACCTTCTGTTGACGTGCGGGTCGGAGAGAATATTCAGTGATCCGGCCACCCGCGCACCTTTAAGTCCATTCGTGGGGGGGTCTCTGGTGGCTGAGCCGTCGGATGGGTGGGGCCGTGAGCTGCGAACTGGGGGAGGGCTATTTAACAAAGAGGGGGTGACCCTTAGCCCTGGAGCCTCCCTGTCCTGATTTCAGTCGGGGGCGCCTACCTTGTGCCTTCATGGTGTCGCCCTCGGGACACCTGGGAGGTACGCGCCGGGGGCGGGAGGCCTGGGGGCCGGGAGGCCTGGGGGCCAGGCTGGGTCCCCTTTGCTGGGCGTCCCTGGTGGGTGGCGGAGCGCGTTCCAGGCCCTGCAGGGCCTTCCGAGGAAGGACGCGGGCCCCCAGCATCTGTCTGGACTCAGTATCCCCGGGGTCCGAACGCCGCGGGTCCAGAGCTGAGAGCTGAGCCTCGCGACCGACCCCAGTCCCGCGAGCGCACAAGCGCCACGGCGGCGACCCCGCCTACCGCACCTCCTCCCCGCTCCCCTTTCCCCGCCTCCCCCCACGACCACTGACCATAGTGATCGGAGCTGTCGGGCCAGGTCCCGCCCCAGCGCGGAGCGATCCGGTGCGGGAGGGCGCCGCGGGATCCTCTGGCTGGTGGCGCCGTTGGGTCGGGCGGTGGGGGCCTCGAGGGCGTGGGGGCGAGCGGAGAATACACCCGACCGCTCCGCAAACCAGAGGTGAAACCTCCACTGTGTCCCAGCAAGACACACACCCCGCGATTGACGTCTGAGCCCGGCAATCAGAAGTCGGGGCACAGGACGTCACAGAAAGTGGGTGGGACGTCACGCGCCTTCAGCCTATGCTTTAGGGTTCATTTGACAGGGTACCGCCCCCTTTTAAAGACACAGAAAGCTTTTAACTAGAGAAGGAGTTAGCCCAACCCAGAAACAGAGGTCTTCATTTGTAAAGGCTGAAGGACTTTTGACCAAAACTGCAAATTGAGGTCTTATGAAAGATTAGCTGGCCCTCATTAATTCATAAACAAGGTCTCATAAGTATAATTTGCCCAAGATCAGAGGACAGGCACTTAGGGAACACGTGTCCAATAACATTAACTGCCTGACCTTGTGTAGCTTCTAAATAATATTTTACCCCCTTCCAACTCATGAATCAGTAGGTTGCCAGGCATCCAATTAATGTTTGTTGAATGAATGAATTTCCAGGATTGTTGATTGTGGGCCTCTGGAATTGTATGGCTACATATTGAGGCACAGACCCGTGAACCAGGTTTGGTGACTCACCTGGCATACAAGCTTGTTATTACTAAACACCAAACAGAGGAATATGTATCATTCAAAGATTCATTTGCCAACCCCTGACCCCTAGAGGAGGGGCACTGGGTGGGGAGGAAAGGTTTGTGGGGAAGGGGGCTGCAGTGCATTGCATGCTCCCACTTTACACGTATTAATAGCAGGTATTAAGCAATTCCCACCCCACTCTCACTCGGCTGCCCCAGGAACCAGGCTAGGCTCTTGGGCAGACAATCACCTGTCTTCCAAATGAGTCTTCTTTACTAGGTGGGGTGTGTGGGGTCAATCCAGGCTCAAGGAGCAATAACAATAACAGCTAATTTTTATTGAGCATATACTGTATATCAGGCACCATCCTAAACTCTCACCCTATATTATCTTTCTTAGTTTTCTCAAAACTAGTTTATGGGGGTCGTTCCTATTATCCCTATTTTACAGATGAGAAAACTGAGGAAGGTACTTGGCCAAATTCACACAGCACTCAGTGGGAGTCAATCCCAGGCAACCTGACACAAGAGCTGGTTTTGAATTCACTCTGGGGAGGAGCCATGTACGTGACTGGGCGGGGGTGGGGGTGGGGTTCATGTACTCCCCTGGCCCCTATTTGCTTTGGGGGAGTTTTTGCTCTTTGTTTTTTACAGCCAGGGAAGCCGGAGTGGTGACAGGAGCAGCTCTCAATGCTGTTCAGCTAGGACGGAGCCCAGCAGGACGGGATCCCTGGACTTCTGACTCCTCCTCCAGTGCTCATTGTAGGCTGTGTTAGGCTTCACTTGGTGGAAGAATGACTGAGTCAGGTGTGGCCCTGTGCGGGGGCAGGCAAGGGGTCTGCCAGGGAGAGGAGAGAAGGGCCTGTGGGGGACATTGCATGGGGCGTGGTCTCAGGCTTAGCCCTGGTCAAGCCCATATCTGAGGCATTTGGAGTCCTAAGGAGGAGGACCCTGAGTGAGCTGAGGCTTCTAGGAGCACTCATGACGATGGCTCTAAGCCCTGAGCTGTTGACCCACTCTCCTCCCGCCCCAAGTCACAGCAGCTCCAAACCGAGCAGGCATTGCCCTGTGGAAGTAGTGCTGGGCTGAATTCGCAGCAACCCTGGGCCTAGGGTGGCTAGACTCTGCCACTCGCTGCTGTGTGGCCTCAAGTGACTTCTAGGCCCTCTCTGGGCCTCTGATACCTGATCCAATGAGAGGATTGGACAATCTGGGAGATTAAAAATGAAGAAATTTAAAAATTGTTTTTAGTAGTGAAGCTTTTAAACAAAACAGTCTTTCCCAGAATCTCAGTATATGTTTAACGGAATCTTTCCTCAACTGTAGCCCGAATAAGCCGGGAAAAGTGTTATCTCTTTAGTCTGTAATTAATCAGGCTTCTTCCTGAGCTCTCTAAAATCTGGTTAGAGGAGAAAAAAGGTTTACAAAGAATCCAATTGGTTGTCAAGCTGGTTCTGAATTGAAAATGTGAGCAGATCTTTTAGGGGCTTCCCTGTGACTGGGGGTTAACATGTTCTGTCGGAAATATATTGGCTCTCTTTTCCCTGTACCCCTTCTACCTGGTGTCCAGGTGTCTGGGCGGAGGGGTCGGGGGATGGCCATGATGGCCTCACAGGTTCAGAGAAGAGGACCAGCAAAGGACCTGTAGCAAAAGGACACCCCCAGCACCCGGGGATGGGCTCTGTGTCCCATGTGACCCATGGTCTGGCTTTTCTGAGAAGAATGACCCCAACTCACTCTCTACAATGTGGCCCCAGTCCACCTTTCTTGTCCTCTGTCTTCCTTACCCTGCCCAGTACATGAACTTCAGAGGGTGGCTTCAAGTGCCCAGAACCTTCCACGTGCTTTCCCACCTCTGAACCTTTTCTCCTCCTGGAACGCCCATTTCACAGACTCCACTTGTCAGATCCCACCCATCTTTCAAATGCTGGCTCCTCCCCCATGAAGCCTTCCCAGATTGCCAAGCTGGTCATGAATTCTTCTGAATTCCCACCATACCACATCTGTCCTTCTCTGGTGCTGATCCCTTGTGACTGTGATTTGGAGGGGGCAGTAGGACATGGTAATTACAAGGTGGACAGTGGCATCAAGTATATTCATGTCATGATTCCCATGGCATCACGCCTCGAGGAAGCCACACCTCTCTGAGCCTCAGTTTCCTTGACTGTAAAGTGGGGGTATTCATACCTATCTCAAAGGGCACTCAGGAAGACTAAATGAGATGACCATGAAAAGCACTTGACACTGTATTTGGTATCCAGTAAGTGCCCAATATACATGGGCTTAGCAGGGTGGTTACTGGGGCCTGATTCTTGTTCATCCTTGTGTGAGTAAGCCTAAAGGAGACAGAGGGGTTTGCACATGACAGGAGGAGCCCCAAGGAGGCTTATGTCTGCATGCCAGGAAGGACATCATCCACATCCTTCCTGGATCAATAAACTGAGCCTCCAATGGAGGGATCTCAGGCAGCCACACCCATGTTGGCAGGAGCTGTTTTCATGCAGGCCCATTTTCCTGGTGTCCTTTGCGTTGTGCTATTTTGTGCACTTGACACTCTCTGCCCAGGGAGCTGCAGGCAGGGTCTCTGCAGGAGGAGCAGAACCCCAAGTTGTAAACTGCTTTACTTCCTTTTCCTCTGTGCAGCATGTCCACACTGTCCCCACCCCCCCTACATCAGAGTTTGCAACCTTGACCTGGAAAACTCGTTGAGATAAAAGTTCATGTGTTGCTTCACTGCTGGGGAAGGTCAGAAAAAAATGAGGGCTGGAGTTCCCTTCACCGCCCCCATGCCCACGCCAGGGAGCAGAGCAGGGGGCCAGCCCTGGAGGCAGTAGGCTGCCCTGGCTCCCACCCCCAGGGACAAAGTTGAAAAAGACACGTTTATTTATTTTTATTTTTTTTAGATTTTTTATTGGGAAACTGGGGAAGGGGAACAGCGTTGGGGCATTGGGGGAAGGGAACAGTGTTGGGGAATTGGGGAAGGGGAACAGCCATGTTGTTGTCCTTCAGTCTTAGTTGTGGAGGGTGCAGCAAGCTCAGCTCCAAGTCCAGTCGCCCCGCTCAGCTCAAGGTGCTGTGTTCAGTTAGTTGCGGGTGGGCGTAGCCACCATCTGGAACAGGCAACCTTGTTGTTAGGAGCACGTGCTCTCACCAGCTGAGCCATCCTGCCACCTGTTGGCAGCTCAGCTGCAGCTCAGCTCAGCTGCAGCTCAGCTCAGGCGCAGCTCACTGGCCCATGTGGGAATTGAACCGGAGACCCTGTTGCTCAGAGCTCACCCTCTTGAGCAAGCTGTTAACCAACTGAGCCACTCGGCCAGCCCTCAAGACATGTTTATTTATTTTTTTTAAAGATTTTTATTGGGGAATTGGGGGATGGGAACAGCGGTGGAGAATTGGGGGAAGGGGAACAGACAAGTTGCTGTCCTTTTGTTCTTCAGTCTAGTTGTGGAGGACGTTGCTTCACTGGCCCAAGTTGGCACCATCATTGCGCTCTTCCCGGGTGAAGCAGATCAGTCACCGGCTTCTGGACAGCCGCTCTCTGCAGCTGCTGGCCGCTCACGCTGGCTGCCGGCTACATACGGTAGCCCATGGCAACCCACTGCCACAGGGCTGCAGCCCACGCCGTCACCAGCGACTCACGGCAGCCCAGCTCCAGGTTGAGCTGTTGTTCAGCATCTTAGCTGTAGAGGGCAGTGTCACTGGCCCTCATATGTGGGATCCGAACCAGGGCCCTCTGGCGTCCCAAGCTAGTTCTTAACCATCGTGCCACTTGGCCGGCCCTGAATATTTTTAAATGATGTGCTATACTATTTTGTAGGAAAGGGGAAAAAAAGAAAATTTAAGAACCCCTGGCCCCCACCCCCATCAGCGAGTTTTATAGATATTATGGGATCTTATGAATTCTTATTTTTAGTCATTTCTTCCCAAATTCATCTTCTACAGTCGGTAATATCTATCCAGCCATTTAAATGTATGTAAATACTCATATATGTGTGCATGTGAATAGATATGTGTACACACACACACACACACACACACACACACACACCACGGCTCATTCTGCTCTTCTATTTTCTCCCCATCTCACTCATCCCAACTCCATGTGTTACATTCCAGTAAGGCCTGAGAGGCTTGAAAGGGCCTTGTGGGCCTGTGTGACTTCGCTCACCCCAAAGCAAGGCTCTGCTGACTCCTAAGAGATGGGTGCCATCCTGGCTCAAGTGGGTGCCGGCTGTCCCAAGGCACCCTCCTCTCTCATTCCTCGGCAGCAGCCCAGAGTGACTGGCTGCAGCATTCCCATGGTTTGTGGTGCTGCGGAGAGGGGGAGAGTGAACTCTTCCCTGATAATTCCACTGGAGAACTGGTAAACCCTTGCCTGGTTTAGTAGAGCTCATCCTGGGTGGCTGCTGGGGAGACAGCTCATCCTGGGAGGTGGCATGGCCCCGGGCATTCCTGGCCCCTGTGCATGGGGCATG